TTTAGCCTTCTTGAGTGAGTAAGTTCATATCTAAAAAGTGAGGACTATCATTTAGAAATGTAGCTTATTCTTTTTATGGAAATTTTTAAATTATGCCTAGTATATCTTGTTCCATAGTAAACACAGAATAAGTATTTATTGAAAGACTAAATTAAGGTTTTAAAGCATTTTGAAAGTTAGTACTCTCTAGTTTAACTCACAAACATGATCTTCTTTGTTCAGAGGCCCAAGATGTATTGCTCGGTTTGAATATATTGGAGACCAGAAGGATGAGTTAAGTTTCTCAGAGGGAGAAATTATTATTCTTAAAGAGTATGTGAATGAAGAATGGGCCAGAGGAGAACTTCGAGACAGAATTGGGATTTTCCCTCTTAACTTTGTAGAACTCATGGAAGATCATCCCATCTCTGGTGCAAACATTTCAAGTGAGTATAGAGAATATGGTTTTTTATTATTTTATTATGTCCTAATTCAACTAAACCAAATAACAGGATCATACTTAAGGGGCACCTGTGTGGCTCAATCAGTTAAGCACCCGACTTCAGCTCAGGTCATGATCTCGTAATTTGCGAGTTCGAGCCCCACATTGGGCCCTCTGCTGTCAGTACAGAGCCCACTTCGGACCCTCTATCCCCCTCTGTCTCTGCCCTTACCCTGCTTGCACTCTCTGTCTCTCTTTCCCTCTCTCTCTCTCTCTCTCAAAGATAAACATATAAAAATTTTTTTAAAAAGGATAATACTTAAACTGCTTAATAATCCATATTTGTTAAAGTAGAAAGAAAAATGGTTTTTATTTATTTTTTTTTGAAAAATGGTTTTTAAATGGTACTAATTATTGGGATAGTCTTTGTTGTGGTAATCTCTCACAAAGATCTAGTTTTGGTGTTTTAGGTTGTTAGCAATAGCTTCATATCAAAAATGGTAAGGAATCATAGACTTTTAAACAGAAGTGGACTATCTAGTATAACTAATGTGTATCCTACCTTACAGTAAATGAAACAGACCCAGGGAGGATGGTACCAGTCAAAGTTAGTCATTACATGAAGAGACTGGTCTGGAGTCCCAGACTTTTTATTCTCTCTCTATGGTTTTTCTCCAATACTAATACATTGTCTTTACATGTAAAGTTTTAACTTTTTTTTTTTTTTTTTTTAACGTAGGCACAAAAACACCACCCAAGGCCAAAAAAGAAGATTCTGGTGCAAATTCTCAGGTAGGCTTCTTGAATGGGTAACCGTAGTGAAAATCAGGTTTCAACTCTTGGAGGAATATTAAAATCATAATTATCATAAGTATCAAGAGAAAATTTCAATTCATGTTGCAAATGTTTGAAATAAATTGGTAATTCCTTTTACTCTGTATATTAGAGCTCATGCAAATGGGTTAGAAAGACATGCAAATGCTGATAGAAAACAAGGAAAAAGACATGATTGGAATATTCATAAAAGAGATACTGTAAGTGACTGATATTAAACTTTAAAAATATTTTTGTTTTTTTAATGTTTATTTTATTACTTCCTTTATTTTTGTTTTCAATATATGAAATTTATTGTCCAGTTGGTTTCCATACAACACCCAGTGCTCATCCCAAAAGGTGCCCTCCTCAATACCCATCACC